CATAACAGTTTCAGTGTATATGCAGGTGTTAGGGAAGGTAGATGGCTGAGATTATCCTATTTTCTGATTGTTTGAAGTTAAGTCTGATGGGTGATTGTGATGTTTAGTTTGGAAATGTTCATAACAGTTTCAGTGTATATGCAGGTGTTAGGGAAGGTAGATGGCTGAGATTATCCTATTTTCTGATTGTTTGAAATTAAGTCTGATGGGTGATTGTGATGTATACTCTTCTAAACTTGTATTTGCTGATCTGAACTGTTCTTTTTTCTCAACTCAGGTGCTATCTCCTCAGAAGAAATCATTAAATACGCACATAGAATTAGTGCAAGCAACGCTGTGTGTGCACCACTGACTTGGGTTCCAGGTAACAATGCTTCTTATAGAAGATTAAAACTATTCAAATGTAGAATGCACTTGTCTAAAATAACATCTGCTAATAAAGGTGTCACAGTAAGGCCATCTGTGACCTGTTCTCAAGAGTATGTATCATTGTTACGTTTCCTATTAGGAAGTAAAATTAAGTTGGAAGAATTGAGATTGTTATAATTTGCCTACCTCTGCCTCCTGAGGGCTGGGATTAATGGGTGTGCCACCATGCCCAGCTTGAGAATTTTAAATGCAACCAGGCAAGGTATGGTAGTACATACTGTATAGTACATACTGTAAAGGCAACAACTGGAGAGGCTGAGGCGGGATTGCAAGTTTGAGGCCAGCATGGACTACACAGTGAGACCCTTCTTGTCTCACGAAGAGCTTGAGGTTTTTAGTGTGCACCAAGGAAAGATAATACTTCAAAGGACATAAAATGTTTCTTTAAGACCTGAGTTAAAAGCTCTTTTTATTGTTTTAGGAGACCCTCGGAGGCCGTACCCAACTGATTTAGAGATGAGAAGTGGATTGTTGGGTCAGATGAACAACCCTTCCACAAGTGGTGTGAATGGTCATCTCCCAGGGGATGCCCTTGCAGCAGGTAGACTGCCAGGTAATGTGAACTGGAAGGGTGTTTGCAAGCAGACCAAGGTTTTTCAGAGGTGCCAGTGAAACATCATCTAGCAGCAAACACTTCTGTCCCTGCGTGCATCTTCTGTCACCCTCCCTAGCACTGGACCTTTCCTTTACTACTACTCTGAAGAGCATTTGTGCAATTGTGAGGCGTGCATTTTTTGTAGGTGCCATTTTTTAATGTGAAAGATTCTTTCTCAAGGAGAAGGGACGTAAGTGGGGGACTGTGCTTTCTGAAGCCCATTTTTAGCTATCACTTGTGTCCTAAAGTGTAGATTTGGGAACTCTGTGCTTATTAATTCCCAGATACTCCCTTCTTTCTCATTGCGATTGTACTACACTGTTGGTAAGTTATAATCCTTTTGAGAGACAAACCACACCAGCAACTTGAGTAGGAAAAGTGGAAGAATTATTAACTAGCAACAGATACGGATGACTAGCCATTATATATAGGACCATGGCACAGGACCCATGGCGGGGGTGGTAGATGAATGCAGTTTGTTGTTCGTGTGTTTAGCACATGTGAACCCTAATCTTGTTAGGTCTTTGGTACTACAAGGTAGGTGGGTAGATAGAATTAAAATACTTGCATAAAGGTGGGTGATTGACATGTAGGTGGATTACAGATAGAACTGATCCCATGGGCTTCTTTTCTCCAGATGTCCTTGCTCCACAGTACCCATGGCAGTCAAATGACATGTCTGTGAACATGCTCCCACCCAATCACAGCAGTGACTTTCTGCTGGAGCCTCCTGGGCACAACAAGGAAAACGAAGATGATGTCGAGGTTATGTCAACGGACTCTTCAAGCAGCAGCAGTGACTCGGATTGAAGAAGGCGTGTGGCAGGCAGCACACCGACCAACCCCAGTGCTGTAGAGATCTGTCCAAAGGGAAACGCAGACCACAGACCGCTGGTTTTCTAGATCATCTGCTGGCACATGTTTGAGGATTAGTCAGCATTCCTGTTGTGTTGGGTTCATGCTTAGCAGCTCTGGAAAGGAGACTGAAGGAGAATGACACACGACTCTGGGATTACTTGAAAGGGCTGAGCCAGCCATGGAGACTCATCCCTGTAATCCCAGCACCTGGGAGACTGAGGGATCGCTGTGTGTGCAGGGCCAGCTTGAGCTACATAGTAAGCTCTGAGCCGTCACCAGGGCTACAGAGCAGCCCTGGCCAGAACAAAGGCTGTGGAGTGTGTGGTATTTCAAACGGAAAGTGCTCACTTGAAAGTAGAGTCGGCTGCTTTTGTGGCGACAGAACTATCACTATTATTTAGATGTGGTTAATACTGTAATATGTGTAAATAAACTTGCTTTTCTTTGTACCAATTTTTTCAATTTTCTTTTTAATTTATATATTTTCTTATTTAGGTACACCTTCAATGTAGGAAGGAAACATTTAAATCCAGTTGCACTTAAGCTGGGCAGTGGTGGCACATGCCTTTAATCCTAGCACTCACTCAGGGCAAAGGTAGGCAGATCTGAGTTGGAGGCCAGCCGGGTCTATAAAGCCAGTTCCAGGATAGCCAAGACTACAACGGAAATCCGTGTTGAAAACAGAAAGCAAACAAAAAATCTAGTTGCATTTGGTGATATTCAAATAAGATTCTGGTATATATGAGAATATACAAGATAAAATAACTGTATCTTAACTAGTAATCACAATTAGGTTCCTGAGAACATTAATAGTTAAAAACATTTATTACAATCCCATACCACACAAACACACACAGAGTAAATTTTTTGTTGTTTTTACTTTTTCACGACAGGGTTTCTCCTGAGTGCTGGGATTAAAGGTGTGCACCTGTGGTGATACTTTCTTAGCGTTCTAACAAATAAAGCTTGCCTGGAGATGAGAGTGTGGAGCTAGCCGCAAGAGGCCAGACAGTGGTGGCACACACCTTTGATCACAATACCTGGGAAGAGGAGACAGAACTCTGCCCTTTGCAGTATGAGGATTCCTGGAGGTAAGTCTTTCTAGCGGCTGGCGCTCTCCTGATCTTTCAGCTTTCACCCTGATAGCTGCCGGGTTTTTATTAAGACCAATTAGAACTGGAGCCCTGCGTTCCACCACCTGTCGGTTGTTCTTCACTCTTTGTTCTTCGGCTCTTTGGGGGCCCGCACCCAGCTCCCAAGTCATCACACATGGGAGACTTAATTCTTTCTTAGGAATGCCTGGCCTTACCTTGGCTTGTTTCTAGCCAGCTTTTCTTAAATTATCCCATCTACCTTTTGCTTTTTACCTTTCTCTGTTTCTGTATTTCTTTTCTTTCCGTCTTACTCCATGTCTGGCTGTGTGGCTGGGTGGTTGGCTCCTCTTATTCTTTCATCCTCTCATCCCAGATTTCTCCTATTCTCTGTGCTTGGCAGCTCCGCCTATCCTTTCTCCTGCCTCCCTATTCGCTGTTAAGCTTTTTTTTTTATTATTATTAAATTTTATTTAACTTCATTTTATGTACATTGGTATGAAGGTGTCAGATCCCCAGAACTGGAATTACAGTTGTGAGCTGCCATGCGGGTGCTGGGAATTGAACCTGGGTCCTCTGGAAGAGGACTGCTGAGCCATCTCTCCAGTCCCCATTCAGCTCTTTATTAGACCAATCAGGTGCTTTAGACAAAGTAACACAGCTTCACAGAGTTAAACAAATGCAACGTAAAAGAATGCAACACATCTTTCCATCATTAAATGTTTCACAGCATAAACAAATGTAACACATCTTAAACTAATATTCTACAACCAGCATATAGAGTAAATTTTATGGAATTTGGAATGGAAGGCCATCACCTTGTCTCCTTATCTCATGTTTTACAGGACTGGGTCTCTGCTTATATAATGTACACAGGCTAGCCCAGGACTTGCAGTCACCCACCACTTTTACTGTAGTTTGTCAAAAGGACTTACTTTGAACTGTTTTTAACTTCAAGCAGTTAATATCTAAGATGTTTGTGAAATTATCAGTTTTAGCTAAATATTTTTTAATAACTGCAAATATAACATTATTGTAGAACATTTAAGAAACAGCATAAAACATAAACTTAGCCTAACAGAGTTAGTACCAGTTAACATTTTGGTGTAGATTCTTGTTAGAAATCCACATGTGCATGTACCTCCCAGCACTGGGGAGGCAGAGGCAGGCAGATCTCTTGAGTTCCAGGACAGCCTGTTACAGAGAGAAACCCTGTCATGATAAAGAAACAATCGCGCAGACCTAAAGAGATGGCCCATAGGTTAAAAGCACTGGCTGCTCTTCCAGAGGATCCAGACTCATTTCCCAGCACCCACACGGGCAGCTCACAACTGTCTATAGCTCCAGTTCCAGAGGATCCAGCACCCTCACACATGACAAAAACACCAGTGCACATAAAATAAAAATAAACTTTAAAAAAATCCACATGTGCCAGGCATGGTGACACAGGCCACAGTGCCTGTATGGCAGGGGCAGGCAGATGTCTATATTTAGAGTTTGAGGCCAGCCTGCTGTACATAGTGAGTCCCAGGTCAGCCAACATGGGTGCTGGGTCCTTTAAGACGAAGCAGGAAGCATCTTTCCCAGTCCCAGATGTTTAAGGACCATACACTTACACTTGAACACAAGTACTAAGAAAGATACAGGTGTAAGTAAGAGAAAATGGGATTGATAAATAGGTGCAATTTTGAAAGCAATTTCCTTAGCAAGCATCACAATAATACAGTGTGTTGAAAGAGCAAAATTGAATTGTTAGCGACCAGACGAGACTCACAGAGGTGGGCTTGTAAAGGGAAGATGAGCTGTGGTCAAGTGTAGTCGTTCAAAATGCCTTGGGTTGCCATTTCTTTCTTTAGTGCTTTTGTAATTTTTTTTCTTGGAGCTGAGGACTGAACCCCACCTACTAAGTACTCTACCCCTGAACTAAAACCCCGCCTCCCCTAGGTTTTTGGATCCCTCTATAAATGCCTAAACATCATAGATTTTATTTTTAGAAGTCTTTATGAAATGATATTTAACATGAGAAATTTAAAATAAAGAAAGTTTATTGACCACATGAAAATCGAATGCACGTTAACAGAGGCTTCTTACAGACTTACAGAGTGAACAAAAAGTCACCAGTGAGAAAGTCATTATTTTATTCTTTGGCTAATCTCTTCGGTGGCTGACCTGACAGGAAGAAGCTGGCTTCTCTTGCCTTTGCACCTGTTACAGCGCTTGCTCATCACGTGCAAAGCCCTAGGGTCAAAGCAACAACCACCGGAAACTAATGATGCCCCAGGCAGTTGCCAGGCAACTGTTCTGCCACTTAAAAGAGAACGAGGAGGAATGCAGCTCCAATCTTTGCATCAGGGAGGCTCAGGCAGGAGGATCAGAAGTTCAAGGTTATCCTCAGCTACAGACAGTGAGTTGGAAGCCAGCCTGAGACGAGACTGTTAAAAGTGGAAAAAAAAAAAAAGCAGTGATATTTGGATATTATAAAAACAACTCTGGGCTGTACAACAGCCCTCTCCAGCCCTCTGCCAGGGCTGTGCACAGGAGGTGTGGGCAGCGTTCCCCCACCGTCATTTTGTTTATGCTAAGAAATTAACCCATGTGAGCCAGGCCATGGTGGCGCACACCTTTAATCCCAGCACTCGGGAGGCAAATGCAAGTGGATCTCTGAGTTCTAGGCCAGCCTGGTCTACAGAGAAACCATCTCACAAACCAAAAAAAATAAATAAATAAAAAAAAAAATTAACCCATGTGAAACAGGAATGCTGGCGAAAGAATAAATAAGACCCCGAAGTAAAGGACACAGAGCTCATGCGGCGCCTATGCTGCAGAGTGGACTGGCAACAGAGAAAACCTCACAGGAGCTCCCCGGGGGTCTGGGCAGCCGAGTGGGCCAGTGACTGCCTGGTGACAGAAACATCAGCCAGAAACCCCTGCTCTGCCTGACCAAGGGAAGATGAGAGCGCACACTTAATCCAAGGGCTTGGCCTGGACGATCATCAATGGGGGCTGGGTAGAAGCTTCAGCTATTAACATTAGCTAAGCCCGAGGTGATCCTTTATGCCCAGAAGGTGATTTTCCCAAACCCAAAGCCCCCTCTAAAGCCAGAAGCAGCTTCAAATCCAAACCAGCCCCACAGCTGCCACTGCAGACGGGTGCAGCCCCGCGCATGCTGCTCCCGGAGAGGCTTCACTGTTAGAGCACTTCTCACGGCGAAACCTGACAATTTGCTGGGGGCAGGAGGTGAGGGGTGGGGGAGGCAACCAACCAACCAACCTTTGGCCTTGGCGTCCCTGCAAAGATCTTGAGGACTCCTGGGAGATCCCCCCACACACTAGGAGACCCAGTGCACTGCTCTGTGTAATCCCAACATATGAGGACACACAAGATCTCAGGAGGAGAAAGTGGGAAATTCAGATGACTTGACCTTAGTTGTCTCACATTCAGCCCCGATTCTCTGTCAGAAACCAGGAAAGTACAGCATACCACATGTCATGATCTCTCGAGTTACACGGTCATTTAAAAATTCTTTTCGCCGGGCGGTGGTGGCACACGCCTTTAATCCCAGCACTTGAGAGGCAGAGCCAGGTGGATCTCTGTGAGTTCGAGGCCAGCCTGGGCTACCAAGTGAGTTCCAGGAAAGGCGCAAAGCTACACAAAGAAACCCTGTCTCAAAAAACCAAAAAAAAAAAAAAAAAAAATTCTTTTCAAGTAAGAGGAAAAAGGACATCAACAATCATGATGAATTTTGCAGTGAGCAAATTGCTTCCAAACTTGAACGGCCACATTGAACGGCCACATTTGAGTTGTGACCTCTATTTGAATGAGAACAGTAAGACAAACTCTGTGGCACTCGCCTCCATGCAGCCAACAACAGTAACTTAGAGTAGTACAGATAATTAACCACAAGCTCCTTATCCATCTTACTCAGTGACACAGCCCAGGAAGATTTTCTCAAGGGTTTGAGTTACTTTAGGAGACTGTGAATAAACCAGTGACCACGTGGCTTTGTAGATAAAATGGAGTTATCCTGAAACTCAGAATCTCTCATTCACTAAAGTTTTTTTTTTTGTTTGTTTGTTTTTTTAAATCAAGGAAGTGTCCTAGCTCCTTCGAGGTGCTCTCCCCTATACCCGTCCAGGTGGTTCAGGTCCTCTCTAAATGGGTCGTAGCCTTGCTCTTTTAAACAACGGAGAGCCCAGAAAAGCTGGTCTGATGGAGGAAATTCTTCCCAAGGAATCCACTCCCAACCTAGAAGAGACAAATGATCAGCGCACACAGATGGTAGAGAGCAATGAGCTTTCACTTGGTGAACTGACCTATACTGTATATTCAGAAAAGCATGAGCTGAATTTACAAGTGACCTAGCACTAATCAAAGCAGCAGTGATGTCTAGGGCTAGCTTGGCTGTGCAAATCAAATCTATGTTTTAATGTGAAATACTGGGCTGTTTTGTTTCTTTGTTTTGAGACAGGGTCTCATGCACCAAAGCAGTTAGTCCATACCTGAACTCATGTGAGGTGTCTATTGTTCTCACAGATAAGAAAAGATATCTAACTTAGCCAAGGTCACAGAGAATTGTTAGATCCAAAGTGAACTCCCAAAATGGCAGTGCCACTGACTATGTGCCACTTACAGTCTGGACTCAGCTCAGGCTGGTCTCTGACCAGGGTACACAGAAGGATTGCTGGTACATAAACAAAAGCCTATGCTGTGGAAGAATCTTTGTACACTGTAAGTATGTATTACTCTCATTGGTTAATAAAGAGCCTACAGCTGGGCAGAAGAGATTGGGCAAGAGAGCCAGACTAGGATGCTGAGAAGAAGGGTAGAGTCTTGGGAGTCACAAGCCAGACTTGGAGCAAGCAGGACATACAGAAAATGAGGTAACAAGCCATGAGCCATGTGTTTGAACTTAGATAAGAAATACAAATTTTTAAGTTGTAAGAACTACTTAGTAACAAGCCTAAGCTGTTGGCCAATCATTTATAATTAATATTAAGTCTCTGTGTGGTTATTTGGGAGCTGGCTGGTAGTCCTAACAGAAAAATTCTGCCCAAAAGCCTAAAATCAGCGCTCCTTAAAAACTGGTTCTTAACCATCCTAATGCTGTGACCTTTTAATATAGTTTCTCATGTTGTGGTGACCCCCCAACCATAAAATTATTTTTATTGCTATTTTATAACTGTACTTTTGCTATGAATCCTAATGTAAATACCTATGTTTCCTGATGGTTTTAGGTGACCCTCGTGAAAGGGTTGTTTGACCCCGCAGGTTGAGAACTACTGCTGAAAAGCTTGTGAACAGGGCTTCTGTCTGTCAGGAAGAGCCACTACGTCCCTTATCTGCCCTACAGCTCCACGTGGGGCATCTAGTTCCACATTAAGACATATCAAAGTCCCCAAGCTAGCACGTCCCTTCTCCTTCCCTGCAACATCCCCCCAACTCTAAACTTCCAGGCTATTCCAGCTTACAGGCTCCCTCCCATCACCACCTGTTCTTTAAAACGGTCAAGGCTTTCCCACCTTTGCTGTTCTCTGTGTCCTCCCTCCTACCTCTGGAGATAGCCATGGCAGCTTTCATTTTCTCCAAATAAGCCTTTCTTTCTACCAATGGAGTGATCCAGTTCAGTGGTTGCACTGCATCCTCAAAAGAATACAGTGTTAAGAACCATGACACAAACCCAGGCAGTCTGTATTTTATGTCCCTCAGGATCACACAGTGTAAGAACCATGGCGCAAACCCAGGCAGTCTGTATTTTATGTCCCTCAGGATCTACGTATTTTCACATCTCTACATTTGTCCCTGTCTGTGCTGCTATAACAGGACAGCTTGCACTAAGTGGCTCATACACAGACATTTATTTCATACAGCTCTGCAGGCTGGACGACTATGATTGAGATGCTGGCAAGGTATGATGTCTGGTAGTGGCCCGTTTCCTGGCTCATGGGACAGCCATACTCCCTCTGTATCCTCCTATGTAGGAAGTGGCAAGGCTCTCTCTGGGGTCTCTTTTATGTAAGCACTACTCCCACTTGTAATGGGCTGTTACACTTGACACGCAGTGCTCCACACAGGCTCAGAATGAACAGTGGGTCCCAGCTGCTGCTGCTATTTTGGGAGGCGATGGAAACTTTAGGAGGTGTGGACTGTGTAGAGGAGGTCACTGGGGATATGCCTCAGACAGCTACACCTGGCGCTTCTCAAAAGGTTGCACCTTGCTGTGGAATATTCCTTTACATTGTGTGAATATATGTCACTATGACTGGTTTAATAAACAAGCTGTATGGCCAGTAGTTGAACAAGATAAAGTTAGGAAGGAGAGCCAAACTGAGAATGATGGGATGAGGAAGGGCAGAGTCTGGAGTCCCTAGTCTGATGCAGAGGGAGCAGGAGATGAATGTGCCATGCTAATAAAGGTACCACCACGTGGCAGAGCATAAATAAGGAATATGGGTTAACTTAAAATGTAAGGGCTAATTAGTAATACGTCTGAGCTATTGGCGGAACATTTGTTGTAGTGATATATTGTGTTCCCCAATATATTATGCACCCTAATAAACTTATCTGGGGATCAAAGGACAAAGCCAGCTACTATATTAAACAGAGAGGTCAGGCAATGGTAACACACGCCTTTAATCCTAGCATTCTGGAGGCAGAGATCCATCTGGAGCTCTGTGAGTTCAAGGTCACACTGGAAACAGAGCCAGGCAGTGGTGGTACACACTCTCAATCCCAGGAAGTGATGGCAGGAAGCAGAAAGGTATATAAGGCGTGAGGACCAGGAACTAGATGCTTTAGCAGCAGTTCAACTGAGATCCTCAGGGGTGAGGACTCAGAGGCTTTCAGTCTGAGGGTTCATGGAAACAGGATTGGCTGAGGAGTTGGTAAAGTGAGGTTGGCTGTGGCTTGCTTGTTCTTCTCCTCTGAGCTCTCAGTTTTCACCCCAATATCTGGCTCCAGGTTTTGTTTTGTTTTAATAAGACTGTTTAGCAATCTGTGTTACAATTTGTGATTCATCTTAAGCCTCAGAGTGGTTATTTGGGACCACACAGTCGGGACAGGAAGCTTCCACCTACAACACCTGGCCCTACTCAGAAGGCTGCCCCTGGCCCTTCTCCCACTGCTTCTCTGCTGTGGGGTTGGGAGGTGAGAAGGCCTCTACTATAGCTCCTCCTTGATAGTCCACCTCACGAAGGGCCCAGAATCCACAAAGCCCAGGACCATGGGCTAAAACCTAGGAAATCAGAGCTAAGGAAATCTTCTTCCCTTTATGTTGTTACTGTTTTTTGTCACAGCAATGCAAAAGCTAAGCTTTGTCCTCATAACCTAACCATGTCCCAAACACACATCTTCTGTTACCATCACCTTGAGGATTAGAATTTCAACACGGGGGTTTTCGTTTTTTATTTTCTTGTCTTTTTTTTGGAGACTGTATCTTTCTATGTAGCTCTAGCTAGCTTGGAACTTGCTACATATTCCAGGCTGGCCTCAAACTCACAGAGATCTGTCTGCCTCTGCCTCCCGAGTGCTGGGGTTAAAGGCATGGGCCACCACTGCTAGCTCCAATACAAGGATTTTTGGAGGGGCGAAGAACAGAAATCTGAGAATCCAATTCTCTTCACACAGCAATGGTATGCCTAATGATATAGTTCTTTGAAGAAAAACACATTATTATATATGATTCTCTTACTCTCATTTTTTTCAGGTTCCATATTCTTTGGCTCTGAATCATGAGCCATGTCCACCTCTCCTTTCATTAATATGGTGACATAATGGTAATTCTCCTTCTCAACAAAAGAATTGACCACGGAGGCAAAGCGCACGTTTTTCAGGTGTAGCGCAGCCTCTTCCCAGGTTTCCCTCTGAGCGCACTCTTCCCAGGTCTCACTGGAAAAAGAAACACAGCCTGGTCAGTGTACACATAACAAGAGACTCTTGGCTGGAAGGCTGTAGTATAAAATAAAAGCAACAGTAATTAGTTTATGCTTTAAAATGATTTTTAAAAAACCCTCTGCCTTGACATCCTGCATATTGTATATTTAGTGAATCGAAGGCCTAAAGAGCTTTATATTGGACAAAAATCATCATTTAACCACTAGCATTAATATTCAGGCCTGGAGACAGACCTAGGCAGCTAGGGGACAGTTTAGTGTGCCTGGTAAGAAGCCAGGCTTTTAAGATAGCTGTACCCAAGCTGGAACATGAAGTTATACTTTCTATCTTAAATAGAAAAGGGAAACATTAAATTTCTCGTGGGGTTGTTTCAAAAGTGCATTAAATGCCTTCCCTAGGCTTCAGAATCTCAGTTGAAGCCTCAAAATTGAGGCCATTAGGCAACACAGGAAGCCAAGAGCTCAGTTCAGGAGCTTGCTGCAGTAGGCCAGAACAGTGTGTTCCCAGGTCACACAGGAAGTACAGGCTACCCTCAAGAGGAAAGACGCTGTGCATTTTCAGCATGGTAGGAGTGTTTCCCTTCCTTACGATGGAGAGCTAGCGAGAGGCACCTCCAATGACTCAGCCATGCCACAATCGCCAACCCTCAGGAAGCTGAGGCAGGAGGTCTGTCGGAAGTCCAGGCCACCCTGGGCCACAGTGAGTTCCAGGCCAGCATGGGCCAGAATAAGACTTTGTCTCAATAACAGATAAACAACAATGAGACTCCCAAACACAAAATCGAACAGGAGAAGAATCAGTCATTGACACATTGAGCTGCCGAACTTCACGAGGCTTGCCAAGTGCGCTGCCTCAGAGCAGGCATCCTGGGGCAGAGCTCACAGGTAAACGTGACTGCACCGGAACACAGAGACTGGGAATTCCACAGTGTGAATTTGGAGTGAGGAGACCATCCGGCATAGGTCCCCGGGGCTGAGATAGAAAAGGGCAGCCATGAACAAGCTGCATTTCATCCTGGAATGCATGTTCCCTTTGGACCAAGCAGATGCCACACGAGAATGCCGGGGTCTAGTGTGGTGGCGCACGCCTTTCGCAGGAAGGAGACAGGCAGATCTCTGTGAATTCCAGGCCAGCAGGGGCTACATAGTGAGATCCCCGTCTCTTTAAAAAAAAAAAAATTAAATCTATTAGATAATATTTACAGATAATAGGAAGTCTAGGATTTCCTTTTAAACAGTCTAGAAAATCAAGCACGGTACATGCTGGGTAGAAGGAGGAGACGCAGGAGGACGTGAGGATCCACCTTGCAAGTGTTTTATATTACTATACATTACCAAAGGAAACCACACTGGATCCTGAGGATTTAGATACTTTTATCTGCTACATTAGTCACACTCTAATAAAACACACTTATGAGCACAGGGCCAGGGTTTCTTCGCGTTGTGTAGCAACTGACTTAGCTACTCTTCCCACTTTGTGGGTCACAGGGGAGAAGGCAACGCGGCCAGAAATTAAATAAATCGAAATCTCATGGGGCAAATGAAATCTCAGTTTTTCATAAGCATCCTCTTTCTCTGTAAGCACTAAGCAACACAGACGACAGCCACCTGCAGCCAGGGCAGGACAGATGGAGGACAGGGGAGCCGAGGAGCTCGGCACAGCGCCCCCTCCCGGCGGGAGCCCAGAAGACCCCGGAGCCGTAGGGGACACACGGAACGCAAGTGCGCACTGACGCGCGTGACACGGACGCATTTGTCGTGGGGACTGGTGCTACTCTCACAACTTCCGTCTTCCCGAGGTCGACCTGCTCACCCGAATTCCAAATGGCCCCCAGGAAGCTGGAAACTGCCGGCTCCAAACGACCCTTTCCTCTTCCCCAGAAGGACGCAGCGAGGATGCTCGCAGCTCACCACCACCACGCCGACCCCCACTCCGGGGCGCCGCCTCGGCTCCGCGTTGGCGGTCATAGCTCCTGGCTGCCCCGGAAGTGATGTTGCCTGCTCCGCATCCGCTTCCAGGCTGTATGGGAGCCCGGAATGTCGCTTCTGTTGAGTGTGCTCTGTCTCAGACCCCGGGTGTCTGCTGGTAGATGGGTCGAGTAGAAACAACCCATAAAAAATAACTGATGTAAGAGTATTCAAACGTGATTCGGAGAAGTAAATAACACGAATAAATTCAGCTAAGACAAATTATGTATTTTAGAGAAAAACACTTATAGCAGATAAAAATATGCACCAGGGCCGGGCGGTGGTGGCGCACGCCTTTAATCCCAGCACTCGGGAGGCAGAGCCAGGCGGATCTCTGTGAGTTCGAGGCCAGCCTGGTCTAGAGAGTGAGTTCCAGGAAAGGTGCAAAGAGAAACCCTGTCTCGAAGCCTCCCGCAGCCCCCTACCCCAATTCACCAATTAAAAGTGAAATTCGAAAGGAAAACCTCTTGGGGGAAATCAGCTGTAACTAAACAGATTTGACATTTTACATCTCTGGGTGGGTGGGTTTATTTTAAAAGTATTAATTTGTTTCTACTAAAGTAATATGTGCATAAATTTAGAAACTCAGTGGTACAAAAACTCCCAACAAGAACACTGTCTCCTTTAGTCCTGCTTCCAGAGACAGGTTTAACTCTTTGAAGTGTTAGTTTTTATATTTGCACACATATTTCTAAGTGTATCATATTTTATATACTAAGTAATCCATTAGAAAATTACAATATCAACTAGGTATGCTTAGCAAAGTCCTAAGTTTCGTCAATCAACGAATGTGCAAATGAATTGAATAAGACAATTTAAAAGAAGAGACAGGAATAATCACTATTTTGAAAAGTGTTGGGTATCACCATCAGGGAATTGCACATCAAAACTACTTTGAGAAACCACCTCATTCCCATCAGAATGGCTGTCATCAAGAGAGCTGACAATAAATGTTAGAGGGGTTGTGGAGAGAGGGGAACCCTTATTCACTGTTGGTGGGGGTGCAAACTAATACAGACATGATGGGGAAACGCTTGGCTGTTACTCAAAAAGTTAAATATAGACTTACTGTACAACCAGGCTGTTTCAGACATGGATATATACCCAGAGAATTTCATACCCTATCATAGAGATATCTGTATCCCCGTTTTTATTGCTTCTTTGTGCTCTATAACAAGGGAATGGAACCACCCTAGTTTTCCATCAATAAATGAATAAATAATGAAAGTTTGGTACATATATAACATGGAATTCCATTCAACTCTAAAGAAAAATGAAATTTAAAAATTTGCAGAAAAAAATAGAAGGACTTGGAATATATAATGTTAAGCAAGGTCACACACTCTCAGAAAGAAAAAAAACACTGCCTGTTCTTCCTCATATGTGCACTGTAGCCTATAATAGAAATGTATACATGTAAACAAATGTATATGGAGGCACAGTAAAACATATAGAAAGGGTAAATGTAAGGGTGACGAGGAAGGACTGAATGAAGAAGATAAAGGACACTTAAGTTATAAAAGAGGAAATAAGTCTAATTGCTTTTCTGGTTATACTCTGCCATGATTTTTCAGGGTTTTGGTGATGGATAAGTACATTTGATGGTGAAAGTGTAAAATCCCGTGTGAAACTCCACAGCTTCAGAATTGCTACTCTTACAGTATAGAAGCTCATTGAGCTGTATACCCTGGGGTCTGGTTAATTAATGTTGGTGGGAATGCTTCTTAAGATGTCACAGATGTGTGAGATTTATACTGTGGTGCACTGAACACTGTAACATGCTAGAAAGACCTTTACAGTGTTCAGTGCACCACAGTATAAATGTCACACATATAAACACCATAAGATCTAAAGGATGGGTGGGAGTGCCTGGAAACACTGTCCTCTGACTGTGACAGGGCTATGCAATCATGTACTCACAGCAGCTGTGGTTACCCACAGAAGACCTGTATAAGATGGGGCCTGTCAGTATCCTACCATGGATGAGGGAGAGGCTCCACCCCTTTCTGGGGAGCTGTTGGAAGTTCATGGTTGCTAGGGGACGAGAAGGTCATTTTCCTCAATGGTATAACCATTGATAAATTGCCTGTGCTCCAGTAAATAGCTCCTCGCCATTATCACAAGCAACTTGTGGTGGTTAGTCTTAACGGTCAACTTAATGAGATCTAGAATCACCTGGGAGTTGAGCCTCTGAGCGTGCCTGTAGGGGTTTCCTTGATTAGGTTGATGGAGGTAGGAATACCCATCTACTGTGGAAGCCACTATTCTCTAGGATGGGATCCTGGAATGTATAAGATGGAGTGAGTGAGCTGAGCACAAGCATTCATTTCGGATGACCCTTGGAAACACTGTAGTCAGTGAGAGACACAGACACTCACTGCTCCGTCTCAGAAAGACAGTCTCCACTGCAGAACACAAAAAGAAAACACTTCACTAAGGAAACAGATGAACAAAGGGAGCTAAGAAGGAATTCATCATACCAACATACTAAACCAGCAAAACTCTATCACTTGTGACAGAGGAAAAAAATAACAAACCTAATCCAACAGCCTAGAAAACAACTAACATGAAGTAGAATTAGCAAAATGTTCTCAATAATAACCCTAAATATAACTGTTCTTGGCACTCCAAATAAAGATGCAGACTGGTTACTTGAAAAAAAAAAAAGGATCCAAATCTCTGCTATTTCTAAGATATTTTCTTCGCTGGCAGAGATACTTAGTCAATTCAGAAAGCAAGTGGATGCTGAAAAGAAGCTGGCTTATCAATTCTGATAACTGATAAAGTGGCTTTTAAATTGAAATTATATAAAGAAGGTCATTGCATGCTAATGAAGGAACTAATTCATCAAGAATACACAATTGTAAATATGTATGCTAAATGGTAGGGATACTGATTTTATAAAACAAAGACAAACAAAGAAAAAAAGCAATCACTAAAGACTTTAAGGACAGGTCTTGATACTAATAGCACCAGTAATAACTAGTAATAATAGTTGACATCAACATCCTACCCTTCTCAGCAGATAGGTCATCCAGACTAAAAATAAATAAGGAAACCTCAGAGTTAGTCTGCACCAAAGACCAGATGAATTTAACTGATATCTACAGAATATTCCAGCTAGCACCTTCAAGACTTTTTACTCTTCCATGGAGCTTTCTCTAAAACAGCACAGTTTAGCCCATGAAGCAAATGCTTACTAATGCAGAAAAGCCCATTGAGACAGTTTCTTGCATCTGGACACAGCATAGGGAAATAAAATGAGAAATCAATAACAACAAAACAAAACCAAAAATAAACAACAACAAACCCAGAAAGTTTGAAACCATTTGGGGATTGAACAATACACTCTTTTCAAAATTCAAGTTTTATTTATTTATTTTTTTATTTTCTCTGTGTGAATATTTTGCCTCTATGTATGTATGGGCATTACATGTGTGCTGGTGACCACAGAGGACAGAAGAGGGCATCAGATACCCTGGAACTGGAGTTTTCAGCAATAGAGAGCCACTGTATAGGTGCTGAACCTCGAGCTGTCTCTCCAGCTCCACACAATATACTCCGGAATGACCCATGAGATCTTTAAAGACTCAAGGGGGCTATTGAAAAAAATCTCAGAATCAAATGAAATGAAATGAAAACTTACTAGTACCTCTGAGACACAGCCAAGGCAATTAGGAGAGAAAATTATACACATTCATGTTTTTTGTTTTGTTTTAAACTAATCAGGCCTGGGAAGATGCCTCTCTGGATAGAATTTCTTGTGCTCAGGCCTGATGATTTCAGTTTGATCCCTGGGTCCCACAAAGCGACAGAAGCAATCCAACTCCTGAGTGTTGACCTTTGGCCTCCACACGCATGTCATGTCATACTCATGTCTATAACACACACATACACACACACACACACACACACACACACACACACACACACACACACCACACACACACACACACACACAGATCACAAATAAATAATCTAATCATGTAACTCAAGGTTTTAGAAAGAATAATCAAAACTTCAAAGCAGCAGATAAAGTCATAAACTGTCCAGGCTCTGGTGGCACAAGCCTCTAATCCCAGAACTGGGGAGGCAGAGGCAGGCGGTCGATCTCCAAGTTCGAGGCCAGCCTGGTCTACAGAGTTGAGTTTCAGGACAGCCAGGGCTGTTACACAGAGAAACCCTATCTCAAAAAAATAAAACATAATAAATAAACAAATAAATAAAATTTTAAAAAGTTTAAAAGGGAGGACATAAACTGGGAGAGAAATTAATAAAATGAAAACTAAAACAAAACACAATATAAAGAATAGAAAGCCGGGCGGTGGTGGTGCACGCCTTTAATCCCAGCACTCGGGAGGCAGAGGCAGGCGGATCTCTGTGAGTTCGAGGCCAGCCTGGGCTACCAAGTGAGTTCCAGGAAAGGCACAAAGCTACAAAAAAAAACCCTTTTTTAAAAAAACAAAAAAAAAAAAAAAAAAAAAAAAGAATCGAAACAACTTCAACACATTCTTTTCTTTCTTTCTTTCTTTTTTTTTTTTTCAAGACAGGGTTTCTCTGTGTGGCTTTGTGCCTTTCCAGGCTGGACTTGAACTCACGGAGATGTGCCTGCCTCTGCCTGGATTAAAAGCATTGCCACCATTGCCCGCCTCTTCAACCCATTCTTAACAAGCAATGAGACTGATGCAGTCATAGTTTCCAAACTATGAGACTCCTAGGACTGGGTGCACTCTGCTTAGATCTACCAAATCTCTAAGGAATAGCTAACGCTAATGCCCCTGAAGTATTCCACATGGTAGAAAGGAAAGAATAATACTACACTTATCCTATGTAGTCAGTGTTGCTATGACAACAAATCCAGGCACAGACAAGGTCATATGGTCATTCTATTTTGAGCTTTTGAGGAACCTCCATACAGATTCCCAGGGAGAATGTGGCAGTTTTCATTCTCACTGGCAATGTGTAAGCATTCCTGTTCCCCCACATCCCTGCTGGTATTTTGTCATTGGATTTATTGAAGATAGTGTCTGACCAGGGTGAGACAGAATCTCAAAACAATTTTAAT